TGCTCCTGATTCAGTAAAAAGGTAGATCAGTAAGTGGAGTTTTTTTCTGATCAATCACTTATGAGTACATACAAGAAGACAGGCCTCAGCACAGCTCCTTTGGTAATCTCTCTCCTTTTGAACAGCAGTAATTTATTCCTGCTGTTTCCTGCCGCACTAACCAGTCATTAGTACACCACAAAAACTTGATCCACCGTAGCTTCATTTCATTGGTAAGAAGCACCAGAAATCTAAGTGCAGTGCTTCATGTTCTCTCAAAAAAAGGGCCAAGACAAGTCTGTGGAAAGCCATCTGTCTTTCAGACTCCTTTTAACATGAAAGGACAAGGCCACTGAGAGACTGAGCCTTTTTTGCCTTTCCTTAGGTGAGGGCTGCCTGGGCTAACTTCTGCAGATTACTGACACCAAACTCCAGCTTCTGCACATCCCCACAACTGACCCAGATGCTTAAAAGAGTTACAAAAATCCTGAAAGCTGGATTCCAGTGAGGTCTGAGCAGCAGGATTTGTAAGGACTTATCAAATGTGAACTTCAGCTTGGATTTCGTGTCCTGCTGGCCAGGGGCATACATTAACGGGTCGGTGAACATAGCTTTGCTGTCTCCCAGCAATAGGTCTCACTGTCCCTCTGGCTTCTGAAGCTGCCGAGTCTTTACTGACTGTAGCCTAGTAAGCAGAGTAAGTTGCATAATAATACTCTCGTGATTTTTGGCCAATTATACATTTCAAATGCCTTCCTGACTTGTAAACAAAAATGCCTCTCTTTCATGGTGTGAATTTGGATTTGGTCAAAGGCATGGCACCTGCTAGCCTGGCTGCTAAGAAAATTGATATTGATCTTGGGAACAAATACTCACCATGTTTGAGAACAATCTTGCCTTTGTGCATGTGTAAGCAATCCCATCTGGTACAGTACACCTACGCTTTACAGACAATGTTTATAGTGAACATAAGGTGATCGCTGCAGCTGATGGATTATTAAATACAGTACCTGAATGCAAGCATGCAGCTGTTTTTTTTATAAAGAATTTTAGGACGTCTTTCAGTCTCAGAGAGAACAAGGAACCACTTCTTTGCTTTTAGTACATAACATGCCACAGAAATTTGAAGGCATCCAAATGACAATCAGAAGATGAGTTTTCTTCTTCCATTTATATAGTTTTGAAAATTGGAGTCTGCTTGTAGAACAGGCAGATTCCCAGTTTCCCATCTAGCTTTCTTGCCAAAAACGGAACATCCACACAGCTGCAAAGGAAGCCAGTGTCATCCTTGGTAGGCTTGGAGAACTGATAATCAGGAGCCAACAGAAGAGTAAGAATTAGTCAGCATTCCCACCTTACCATCTACTGCTTTTCACAAAACACTTATTTTTCTGTTTTCTTCCTTCCTAACAACTGAACAAAAATGGAATATCTGCATTAAAAACAAATGCCTATAATTGATGCAAATGACTTCATCACCTTAAAAGAATCCTAAACCTCCAGTTGTTGAGGGTTTTTTCTCATTGTAATCGGCACTCCTCTAGGCAGCCAGAGTGATTTTCAGACTGCGTCCCACAGAGTACTCCATTGATGTCCATCAGAGGTCACAAAGACAAGCAAGCCTTTCTTCAGCGGGCTTCAGATCACTAAGTAGAGGCCTGGAGAAGGTGAAAATCATTGTTCTGTCTATTCTTTCTCCTTCTGTCTCCATACCAACCCGCAGAGACAGCTTAGTCCTTCCTAGTCAAATGCCCTCCAGTGCTACCTGATGGACCCCCACACCCATCCCTCTGGTACGTGCAGAGTTGCCACAGTAAGCTGGGGTTGTCTCTGCGCCTGGCGGTCCCTCAGTGCCCCAAGCCCCACGCTTATGTTCATGTCACACTGGCACTCCCGAGTGCAGGGATGCTCATCACAACACCCAGCGAAGATTACAGCATTGTGAGGAAATCAAGGTAAGAGCCCCAACACACATTTAGTTGAAAAATAATATGGTAATGCACATTTCCTTAGGGATTCAGAAAACTGATTTGCTAAGGCCACCAAACAACAGCTAGTTTTCTTTCTCCTCATACACTCCTTGTTTATTCACACAAACCATTCAATGCAAAAATGCATTTCTGTCTCTTCCCTATCATAGTCCAGCAAACAATTTAAGTAATCTCTGTTAAAAGATTTTCAAAGAGGAGCAGAAAGAGGTGATTACGGTTTGCAGTTCATGGTGTTTCTTTGCTTAACTTCTTCCTTTTTTTTAATAACAATAACCAGGCACAATTAATCACTGTGATTATTTTCCTTCTTTTTGTTTATTTTCTTTCACCAGGCATAGAAAGAAACACTGTAAGACCAAAGGAGTCAGAGTTACATCCTTATTAGACATCTGAGAAGCAACAAAGAGAAAAAATATATGGTTCTCTTGCATTACATATTTTTTTTAAATTTTTATTAAAAAAAATACTTGGTGCTCAACAACAGAAGAGAATGTTCCAGGCTACTTCAGGTAAGATTTTGTTATTATTTCTAGCAAAATAAATAGTTGGACACAAGGCTATATTGCTTAAAGAACTCCGTTTACATTCAGTTTCCTGAAAATCTATTATGGATCAGGATCATAGATCAGGATCATATTTCAGAATCTTTCAATGCAACAAAACCAAGTGAGTTTTGCTCCCAGTATAAGCACAAAGCTAAATACAGCTAGGACTGCTTGCATTGTTAGTGCTAGGGACAGCTGTAACATGCTAATTGCTTCCAGGGTGAAAGGAGAAGTCATTACGGTTGCCAGTCCAGAATCTGCTGGGCAAATTTCAATTAAATATGGAGTAAGGCTGTAGGCAAGGAGTGATGTTAGCTGCAAGGCAAAGCACGCACAGTGCTGTATCCCAATTAGCAAGAGCAGGCACAAAAGAGTCTGAGAGCTGATCCACTGTATAAACTCCACATGATTCACTTTATGACATTGCTGGCAAGAGTTTCAGTGGGAGATGGGCATCTATTCTTTTAACATCTATCTCACTAACCGCTAAATGCAAATGTAATTCAGAGGCTCCAACTGTGGCAACCAGCACACCTAACAAATCTGTAATTTTTTCAGCCTCTCATCTTTCTAGAACATTTGCCTCTGCCTGGCTATTATAAATATCCCATTTATTACTTACTGGGCACATTTCCCAAAAGTAAAAGACTAAAGACAGATACTTAGAGTTGGCTAACTAACAACAAAAAAATCCACCTGCTTATGATAGAAGTTTAACCAAATGGAAATACTGCCATTTAAAAATGTATTAGATAAATCTTTTTTTTCTATTCATGTAGTTTCTAAAACCAGATCACTAGATTTCCATAATATCCATTACACAGAGTTATTTACAATTGTCTCCAGTGAGTATTTCTTGGGCTACAGGTCATTAAAAAATAAACTATTTATCACAAGTATCCCAGATGCGCTATTTGGGCTTTGTGATTAATTATATATAATCACATTATATATAATCACTCTGTTTTGTGAATGCAGTAACTGAACAACATTACACGCACCATAAATTTTTAAAACACAACTGGCATTTCCTATTATCACGTTTCAGTCTTAAGACTTAAATTTCCTGTTGAATATTTGTGCTTGTAAGCTTGTTTCTCAACAGCTTAAGCACAAAAGGGTCAGAAGTAAGCTGTAATATAAATTTACTTATATATTAATTCTTTTCAGAGAAAAACATAATTGAAATTCTACTTTTGTAGTGACTTGCTCTCACCTTAAAATCTCTGTTCTATTAGAAAAGAAATTACTGCATTTCTGTGTCTTCCCTATCATAGTCCAGCAAACAGAAGGTGGTTAAGCAAATAGGTGAGGAAGAGAACATGGGCTGCGTTACATACCATACAGTGTACAGCTGCAGTTATATTCACTTTGCTCCAAAAAATTATCCCTTCCAAGGGGTTGGTTTGGTGTTTCAACAAACCAACACCCCTCCAGATCTGGCTGGCTTACAGGGGCCTCTGCTGAAGAAGTGCAAATCCTTGGTCTTCTCTTAAAATACCTTTCCTTGTATAGGGACGAGCGAGCCACCTGCAAGGAGAACCAGGAAAGCACGTCCACCACCAGCCGCCAGAATCATTCCCCGAGGAAGAAAAGCAGCTCAAGGCAGGCCGACAGCTACACCCGCCCCGGCTGCTGAGCGGCCTCACGCTCCAGGAGGAGCCCCGGCTGCCCACAAGCTGCTGGGAAAGCCGCCGGCCTGGGGGGCTGCCAGGGGCTCGGCCCCTCGCGGCGTTAGGCTCTTCCCAGCTGCCACGATGTCCCCCTTCCCAAACCCAGAAACCACAGAAACACACGCCATCGCTTCGAAACTGCGAAACCACTCCGCATTTCCCAGTGGCCAGACTGGGAAGAGCCTATGGAAGGCTGTCCGCTCCTTGGCTGAGGGGACTGCCACGGGGAAACGGCCCCAAATCCCAGGTAAAAGAACGAGGGAAGAGTTCGCTCCGGGATGCTGTCTACCAGCGCTGCCAGCTTCGTGCCGGCCGTGGCCGCTCGCCTGAGCTCGCCAGCGCCCGCCCGGCCGACCCCCACATTTACGGTAGGGCTTTACCACCCTTACTCCAGGTAAAGTTTATTTCCACTGGGATAAACCAGTTCTTTTTCCTTGCTTTTAATATCAGGTCGATTTAGCGACAGTCACGAGAAACCTTTCCAGATTGCTTTTTCCGCACGGTGCGGCCCAGCCGAGCGCAAGCCAGCGGCAACCAAGCGCCTCTGGGGTTTGTAGCCACACGCCTTTCGCAAACCCACGGCTGTCCCTCCTCCGGGCGAGAGGCCACAGCGGGGAAAAGCCCCACGGCAGGTCCTGCGGCCGGGAGGAGGCGGGGAGCGCCGGGACCGGAGGGGTGGGGGGGGGCAGCACCGGCAGCTCCGTCCCCATGGCGACCGCGGCCCCTCACGCAGGGGCGGGACAACCGGCCCCGCCTGCCAATCTCACCCGCGGCCGCCGGGGTCGCGCCTGCGCACTAGGCAAAGCGGCGCGGCCCTGCTTTCCCCTCCTCTCCAGCGCGGAGCCGTGACCTTCGCGGCGGGAGGCCGGGCCGGGGAGCGGGGCCCGTGCGGGGCCCAGGGCCGGGGGGACCGCGGGCAGGGCGGCGTCGGGCCTCGGGCAGCAGTCGGCGCCGGGGAGCGGGGCGAGCTAGAGCAACCGCCGCTTGCGTTCAGGTCGGCAGCGAAGATGTCGGCGCCGACGATGGAGGAGCGGAAGGCTTGCTGGGGGGCCCGGGACGAGTTCTGGCGGTGCTTGGATCGGTACGGGGACGACACCTCCAAGTGCGAGAAGCTGCGGGTCTCCTTCGAGTCCCGGTGCCCGCGGCAGTGGGTGAGCAGCCGCCGCGCTCGGCCTCCCGGGGCCCGGCCCCCAAAACGAACGGGACATTCATTTCCTTGCACGTCTGTAGCAGCATCGGCCAGTCGTTCGCACGCGGCTCCTGAATGAGAGCACCTTCCGCTTCCGGGGTGTTGGAACGCGTGGGGTGTGCCACTTCCCTCACGGATAACGCAGCACACCCTTGGGAGGTGTAACTGGGTTGGCACCAGGTCTTGGCTGGGAAATTAAAGCTCCTGAGTGGACCACGGACTGGGCCGGGAACTGTAGACAGTAGTGTAAAATACAGAGTACAGAGGGGAAAGGAAATGCAATCTCAAACTTTGAGATAGATATGCAGCTATTCAACCATACAGGTTTATTGTTTAATTAGAAAAAAATCTGAAAGATATTCAGAACCTCTTAGAAGTGCACAGAAATCACTGTTACTAAAGAAGGCAGGCTAATAGGGAAGGCAGGTGACGTGCAGTGAAAACAGCAAAGCGATAGACCTCTGTTGTTAGATGTCCATGGAAGTCCTGGGAGTGGTTATGAGAGGAAACTTGAGTTCACTTTCAAAATGATAAAAACACCCACAAAACACTGAAAACAAGCACACTCCAACCCACCTGTAGTCCTCAGCAGCGCGAGAAACTCCAAACTATTCACTTAAAATCCTCCTTAAGTTCAGTAATCAAAGATTGTTTAGTCCTTAATTTTGTGATGCACACAAAGCTCCTCCCTCTGCTTTCTTCTGACGAACATATTTTCTCTTTTTAAACAGGTTAAACACTTTGACAGAAGAAGAGACTTTTTAAAATACAAAAAAAAGCTTGAAACAGAAGGGTATCGGCCTTCAGAAGATGCTGGAAAGTCTTAGGTACTCTGCTTTCAAAATAATTAACTATGAAAGGAAGAAGCATAAGAAAGTGACAGAAGCTGAGAGCTTCTTGAACTCAAGAACTGGTAACCTGTCTCCCCAGATCACAGGCTGTTGTTCTTGTTGCAAGTTCTCATGTGTCTGCTGAAAAAAGATGGTCATCAACAGCTTTTTAAGGAGTATAATTCAAAGAAGTATGGTGCAGGGCTGTTCACAAGGCTAAGGTTTTGAATATATAATTAGTCAAATTGTTTCACAGGAATAAATGATTATTTATTAGTGTAATGTACATATTCTAAAGAGAACAATAAAATTGTTTTTCAGTAAGTGAACCAGCTTTTCCTTAAAAAAGATTCCATTCCAACTTCCCTTCTTTGTCAAAAGGAGATGGTAGGTATAATGTAATTTGTATTTGTCATTTACCAAGTATTTAAAAATATTTAAAAATACAGCTTAAGTCAGACAGTTAAATAAAATAGCAGCCGGTAGAAGACCTAGTGCATCCTGTGCATTTGATGTAATTTACGTATTTGGAATATGCTCGGTTTTTTATAAGCAGTAAGAATTTTTATGGTAGTGGTAACAATTTCCAGTCAGTAGCTCTGCTGGAAGTACAGCAGTTATTTATCATGATTCTCGCATTATGGCCTTTTGTGTAATTGAGGGGTTTTGATTACCTTATTGATGCAACTCCATTTAAAGATACAGACTGTTTACAGCAGATCAGTAAACTTGACTGTGAAAGGCATTTAAACAAGGGGCAGCATTTAATGTAACGTAAGAGAATTTACCTTGCCGAAATTATACAACCTAGTATATATCTAGATACAGCATGAAATACTTTGGCTACAGTAAGTTTTGATTGTGGTTACTGGAAGGCACCACTTCAGTTTTAAGTATGGTCATCACAATTTAAATAACTGCAGTAAAAATCCTGTGTTTTGAGTTTGGGATTGTTCATGGTACACTATGCTGATGTTCCAATAGTAGAAAAATCACTCACACCCCATGCAATATAAATAGTCTTTATTTTCAATGCAACAGTTTTATTTAAGGAGGTAAAGTGTTAAGGCATTTAAAAGTCAGTCTGAACACTACAGAAAACAAAACATGCAAAATTTAAGAATCCTCATTCACCCTGAGTTTGTGTCTCATCTATTCAGAATTTCATGTTGTAGCACCATAGGAAGTCACCCAGCTGTACTATAAGGCACAAAACTCTTGGCAGTTATTTTTGTTGTTTTTGCTTGATCACTTGTTGCCTCGTGTACTCCCAGATCAGCAGAGCTCCACTTACATGAACATTGAGCGATCGAATAATACCCTGCTGAGGAATTTCCACACAGACATCCAGGTGGTGAATCAGGTTTGCTGGGATTCCTTCATGTTCATTTCTAGTAAAGAAGAAACAGTAAGTTGTATCTAAGACAAGACAGGTGTTCCAGAAAGCAGAAGATGCAGAAGTCACAGTATCCAAACACCATTTGACAAATGGTGCATCTGCCCTCAAGCTAACTGATGGGGACAAGAAATTTTTTTTAAAAGCAGTAATACATTATAAAGAAAACATGGGGGACCTGACTAAGCGTTGATGTAGGAAAACTGGTAGAGCACTTAATCTTCAGTTCACTGGTGCAGCAATAGCTGAACACCCCAAACAAGGACTCCATGTCTGCCTTTATTTTGAAACTATCTATATATAGTGAAATAAACAGATGTAGATTAAATGACGAAGGCATAAAGCTGCTGACACAGCAGGGAAGCTCAACTGGCCACTTCACATTCAGTGAGGTTTTGGTATGAGGGAACATCAAGACTGATCAAAGCCTTGAACTGGAAATGTTTCACCTCTTCAGAGTGAGCACACTAGAAGATACCAAAGGTTATCAGTAATTAAAACTGTGTTTTTAATTAGAATAGAACAAAGTGATCATGAGACTACATTTTGAAGACAAGCTACATACAAAAAGGTTTGAAAACCAGGTATTTCTGCCTGCTTTGTCCTTAAAGACTAGGCAGGCCCTTCCTCCTGGTCTCGGTGTCCCTGCAATTCCACTAGCTTTCTGACTCATGGTCACTTTCCTCTAGATTTCCTGAAGCAGCCTCCCCTTTGTCACATCCGAGGCTTTCCTGATTACAGGAACTGATTATCGCTTTTCTCTGAAGTTGTCCCAGGCTCTGCTTGTACTGCAAAAACTTAACTACTTCGTCCCATGCCTCATTTTTAAAGCATCTCCCAGCCATGCACGCTCCCACTCCTGTCCTCCTCACCACGGTAAGCAGGGCAAACAGGCAGCCCTCCTCCTTGCTGAGCTCACCACAGCCTACACACATAAGGCCTCATATTAGTAAAGTGAATAGATGATAGCTCTATCACACCCAGAAAACTACAGTCCATGCAGTTGCTATCTGTACCCATTAAAAAAAAAAAAAAAAAGTTACAGTATATGGATAGGTTAAGTATGAGGAGAAAGATTGTTAAGATTGTTCAGGAGCAGACATCAAACCCTCCCACTTCTTAGCACACAAAGCCAGGCTCTGCTGTTTCCATCATCACGTCCCATTCTAAATCCATCTTTACCAATGTCACTTGGTTTTCGTATGACCAAAGTGACTAGTAGAAGAGATGGACTGCAAGAGGTAGATTTACAAAACAGCGACTGTTCTTACCCCAGCAATAATAGTGACTTCTCTGGGAAGCAATATTCTGTAAGATCAAAACTTCTAGCTGTCTGCTCCACACCAATAATAGTGTAGCCTTCCGTTTTTTTCTGCTGTAAATAATCGACAAGCTGAGATGGTTTCACCTGTCCATCAAAAGTAGAGAGAAATGTACAAATATTTAAATCTTACCATTTGTAAACTTTTGAAGTTACTGTAAAAATCAATTTACTTGGACAACTTTTAAGATGAATGACTTTTCTCCCCAAAGACTCTGTCCATATACATAGTTTAACATTCTAAAAGCTCTTCAGCAACAGCACAGAAGGTTAAGCAATGCCACAGAAATGCACTCTGCAGATACAGTGAACAAAGGCTTTTCTATGCTTCTGACAGCTACAAGCCTTACACCTGAATGTAAAAGAATCACTCTTGTATAGGGACAGGGTGCACAGCTCTCTTATTTAACCTGGAATTCCTTCCCAAAACAATACAACAGCCACTACTGCAGCTGAGCTGCTTTACATGCTTGCATTACAACTTGTGACAGCTTACAGTGAAGAATTTCGTAGTTGTCTTCATCCTACTCTCTAAACTGCTTATTTGTATTAAATGCCCATTTCTTCATCCAACAGAAGCTCTATCATCAGTACGCTTCTGTACGGAGATTAGGCACAACAACATGTGTCCATCAGCATTCTGCTTTAGGGAAAACACACTACAGCTATCTTGTTCTGAACAAAAAACCTAATAGGCTGAAAATAAACACTGTGGGGAAAAAAAATGAAAAATTTGCACTGATTTTTTCAGATAACTTAAAGTTGATCTTGAAAAACTGATTATTACAAAGTATCACAAACATATTTTCCACCAAATACTACATATATAGGTTTGAAACCCTCATTTTTATAAGCTAGATGATAGGTTCTAAAACCTTGGCACAGGTTAGCTTCAAGCAAACTCAAAAATTAGTCCCACGAAGTTACCAAAAGCAATGGAACAAACAAGATAAATGAGGTGATGTTCAACTTTTATAAATAAACATTAAATTCCAACTCACCACTATAAACCACGGAATGAGATGTAACAATGACAGCTCACATAATCAGTTTATCACAGCAGTAAGAATTTTAAAGTATTTTTTAAATTCTTTTTAATGGGGTTGACCCAAATTTATAGCAAAATACTCAAGATTAAATCTCAGATAACAATGGGGGCTTCTGTTAAATAAAAGATTCAGTTTTGCAAAATACGAAAAGACTCTGAAATATGCATCTGATGAACTGAAGATGTACCGTATACTTCTTAGCAATTAAAATGTTTCCATTCACCTCAACAAGGGGGAGCCACTGCTCTGCAGAAACACTAAGATGCTGAAACTGCTTATCCTGTATATAATGAAGGCTGCCGACGACTAATGCAGATGCCCCAAATATTTCACTTGTCCGACATAAACCTACAAACAGAAGAATTGAAGTGGTTTTTGTATAGAAAATAAACACCAAGACAGAATACTTTAGCAAGTGAAAAAGGACAAAGAATCCAGGAGAGAAATGGTTACTTTAGTCCTCTATTTGTAATCAGTTTCAGCTGCTTCTTAGGTCTGTTCCAAGCCACACTTTGTTCCATATAATTTACCAGGAAAAAAAAAAAAAAGTTTTGTAACTTAGCAGAAAGATAAAAATTAGAAAAGCACTATGTCTAACAAGGTGTACAATTAGTACTGTAGAAGCATGAAGTAATGGGTCGGTATACAAGCCTTGGCAGGGATGGATGGACACACACACATGCACTTAAGCTTTAAATCCAGAACCTGTTTAAGGAAAGTCTTGAGAGAATGACACATTACAGCATTACAGTGCAGGCAGCACCAGCTTGCGGACTTATTTTTCATTAACAGTCTCATTGCAGTTATTTAAACTGCTGACAACAGCAAGCACAATGCAATAAGAGTATTTGCAGGATTTATTATATCACAGCTTGCACAACATTGTGAAGAAGTACTTAATCAGGAACAGGCACTTTCCTGTCCAACAGTCATGAGAAACCAGTAGGTCTACAAGATTTAGTTTAATTGTTACAACAAAAAAAAAAAGTAAATGCAAATTATTTCCTTTAACTGCATACACAGTTGGAAAACTCAACTGTAACAAAGAATACAAAACCAGTAAGAAACAGAGCATGATTTACAGCAAAGTTCTACTTAAAGTATGTTATGTCAAAGTACATTTTTTTTTCCCCTTTAAATGTAACTACAGAAGACCCCTTCTTCTGAAGAGGGGTAGTATTTCTGTTGGTTAACAGTTTTTTTCAGGATAATCATCTATTTATCTGAGCAGTACTTAAATAATTTTCTAATTAGCAACATCAGATGAAATTCATTCCTATTATCCGAGTGGGCTCTAAGGTCTAAAATGAAAGTTTAAAAATGTGCAATCAAGCTTACCTCCTAAATTGGTAGGCTTATCAATAAGTGAAGCCACTACAATCAGTCTGCTGTTTGATTTACCGAGTTTAGCAGCACGATCCTGAAATACCATTTCCAGGTCTAAACTAGGAGTACTGTTTTTCCAGGGTATAATCTTTTTCTGAACATCAGTCCATTCTGTCTGGCTCTCTGTTTCAGATGAATTTGAACCTATAAAAACAAGTAGTATTCATGTGGATATGC